GTGGAGCATTAATTTACATCCCATGCAAGATATGTAAATGCCAATTATGCATCATTTCTCATGGTTGTATTCAAAATAAGAAAGCAAGAACTTACTCAGAAATGTGTATTCATTGGGTATTTGAGATACTTCTAATTAGCTTTATTCTAGTTTTAATTATGTTATGGTACAGCTTCATGGCTCTGCAGATTGCTGCCCCAATTCTAGATATCAACAATAAGAAAGCAGAAATACATGTGATTATTCCTTGGAAGCTGCTGCTGTGGTAGATGACTGCTCAGCTTGGATAAATGACTCATAATCATCCAAAAGCTGGTTCCATGTATGGATGCAATAATAATAACTTCATAGTAATTCATAATGCTTCGTATGTTGCTTGTATGTGTGATCTTTCTGAGATACTCAATTCTGTCACTGATGAAAAGGAAACCCAACCCTTGAGTTAGAGATAATTCTTTCGAAATCAGAGAGTACATTTCAGGACCAAAAATCAGATATATTCTGCTGTGTATGTTCTTAATTGACTTAAGCTTTTTACCTCTCCTTTAGTCCTTTACTAAGCATTAGTGTATGTTAATACCTTTAAAAGAGACATATGACTAAGATATTATGGTTAGTATATCCATTCATCAATAGGCAGGCCAGGGTTACTGTCGTATTCCAAGCTCATTATTTACTTTGGTGGTCTCTTCCAAACAACTTTCATCCCCTCTGCTGAAGTGACTAATGCAGAGGATTATTTCTGGAAAACTTTCTGTTTCTCCAAAGCTTCTTTGAAAAGAAGCTCTGATTTTTCTGTGAAAAATCACAGAACTTCCTTCTCATTCCAGATGTTTTTAAGCCTTCTAAGGACAAAAATCTTCCCTATTCTCCCCATTATCTGATTCTGAAGCCATTATAAAATGGATGATATTTTGACAGCTTTTTCATCAGAAGAATCTGCAAACCAGAACTGGTGCTAGCATCACTGTACATAAAGGAAAACGTCTTGGGTATTAATTGCTTTGGCAGAGACTGTCTAATTTGTCTTTTCTCATCTTCAAATTTGTTGAATGTATAACTTGCAATAATTACCAAGATTTTCTACTTTCTAGTTTTTATTCCTGCAGCTTCTGCAGTTGGGTTTGTAACTCCTGCACTTTACTGAAAGCATTTTCATCAAAATCTGTGATGACCAGTTTCCTAGCTGTGTCTCAGAACTAGTATTTTCACACTCACCTTTTAGATGTCACTGATCTTCCCTCTGATTGTGTTCTTCCTATTGAAATCTTTTCCTCTTGATTTTAATGTGTCTTTGTGTTCTGTTGAAGGACCCTCCTCATGTTTTTTTTTCTGAATTTATTGTGGAAATTCTCTGATTTTACTTGCAAGTATACGTTCAACTACTGGACCCATGCTGATGGTCCATAGCACAACCATCACGCAGAGCTTCCTTTGAATAGAGTAATATTGAAGTATTGACCTATCTACATCATTCATATGTGCCTGCCTGGGTAGTAGTATTGTCTTGTTTTGTTTTATAAGCAGAACAGAATATAGACTGCGTGATCCTCTGTTGCTGTTGTTGCCAAACTCAGTGAAAATGGATTTCCTGCAGCATCTTTAAAGCGGTCTACAATGACAATAAATTTCAGGAAGAAATCACCCGTGCTGCTCTTCAGGTCTATTTGAATTGCCTTGTTGCTAATCTTCTAGCGTTTGATTACTAAAAAAGGCTGCTGTTTGCCTGACCCTCAGAAGTATTAACTTTATCTTTGTTGTCTCTTCAGTTTCTTACTTCCTTGCTTCTCTGAAGAACAAAGGGGTATTCTTTTTGTTTGTTTTTTTGTTTGTTAGTTTTAATAGGCAGCCTCTTCTCTGGATTTATGTGGCTAAAGAGGTACATTGTGTAGTTCACCTTGCAAAATACCATTGTAAATACGATTCTTATGGTCTGTCATTTTGATTATGTCACACTTCTGAGTGTAGTTTATTTTTTTCATGCACTACAAGACCTGGAGAACTGTGACTTTGCCCAGCAAAAAAGCCAGTATATCTGGAAAAGGGAAGGTTGTTTTTTTTCTGTCCGTATGATAAGGGACCCTAGCAATTATAGTGGGAAGTATGTGGTCTATGTTGGGTGTCTGTCAAAATGAAGAGTACTTCATATTCCACAAAACAGCCCAAACTGACCAGGTAAAATACAGAAGCTCCACTTTCTTTACCTCGTGTATAAAGATAGACTTCAGCAAAATAATCCTCAAGCAAAATAGGGAGTGCTTTACTGGCATTTTTCAGATGTCCTGAATCTTGGACTTATTTGTGATTTATTGTGCTTCATTTTTCTCTCTGTATCCATCCAGAAGAGAAAAAAAACAAGCAAGAGTAATGAAGTGGTGTGTCATCTGTTTAAGATTGCTGGGGTAATACTTCAGAATATCTAGAAAGCAAAAAAGAAAACCAAAATGAGAAGCATAGCTGAGATTTGCACAATTGGGAATACAGTTTCAGAATTTCTTTCTTCTCAGTGGTAGAATGATAACACTCTTGCTTGTGTAATCAGTTGCTGTGGAAAATATGACTGAGCACTCTGATGGTTACAGTAGTTGCTGTCAATCAGTTACTCAATAAATTAGTAATTTATGGTAATAAACAGCTTCTCTTTATCGTTTGGAAATAAAAGTAACAACGTCTTGCTTTTTGCCATGTGTACCCATCCAATGGGTGGAAAATTTTGACCTAGTCTAAAGTCCCAGCTGTTGAGGAGACTCTTTTTAATTCTTGTTTTAATCTTTCTAGAGGGTGATTAGAATTATCGCTACTCCTAAAAATGAAATATTAATCAATGTATTTTTCATAATTTCTTGCATGACTCACTGTCATGTCACAGGTACATTTTAAACACTGTGCATGAAATAGCTTTAAAATGTTTTCTAGTGATAGTATATATTTTCCCTATATCTAACTTTTTAATGGTAAGCTATAATTTATTCTCTAGTAATTCAAACTTTGCATAAAATATTACAGACCTTGAATTAGTTTTCATTTTAATGAAATTGGTGTAGTATAAAATAAAGTAAGTGACAAATCATGATGCCATCTTGCTAATACCTCTGAAAGTAATTCATTTAAACTAGAATGAAACTAAATCAGTTAATATATGGTAGAAGCCGCATTTTGTATTCTGTGAAGAAAAGCTGCATTGCCAATCATAATGAAATTTGCTTCACGAGCACTGTAATTAATGAACCTTGGTTTCCTACAGATTTTTATCCTTTGTCAACACTGCAGTCGATACTGCATTGCTGATGCAGAACTCCCAACTCTCTTCCAGTTTCTTTCACAGGTTTGTGGATCTAATAGTAGTGTGTGGTGTGCTCGCTTCTGAAGCTCCGGTGCTGCCTGCCTAGCCAGGGTGGTTGTGCTGCTCGGTCAGGTGGCTCATGTTCGCTGGAGTGGGGAATGTGTGGAATTATAATTAATTTTTCATTGTGGGAACACTGTTGTCTTGCTTCAGAAATCTTATGCTAATATTCCTCTCATGATCTGTGCTAAATTTTGATGAAATCGTCTGGAAGATAACTGGAAGACAACACTAGCACACATTTTGTTTTTCTTTGGAAAGCAGACTGAAGAAAACCACTGACTTAACTAATACAACAGTGCAAATAACAAAATTTAGATGTGCTCTTTTGGGTTGTGTTCTTATATTCACTCAGGGAATGATTTATGCCTAATATGCGTAGGAAAATCTCATAGTCTTGATGTATATACCGTTCAGAACTTTCAGTGAAAATGGATTTCCTGAAGAATCTTTAAGGTGGTCTACAATGACAATAAAATACAGGAAGATATCAATGATGCCACTCTTCAAGTCTTTTTGAAATGTCTTAAAAATGCTTAACAAATGTGAAGAATCTCAGTACAGGCTACAGTTGTGCATATCATATGTTTGATAATGCTTGCTGTGGAAATAAAATATTAGTCTTCATTATAAGATACAAATTATTTTGAATATTTTGGAGGGAACATGCTATAAAAATACTGCCAAGGGCTTGTGAATATATTACATGGTGAACAGAGCCAGGTTATTGTTTAGATCTGTATTTTAATACTTATTCTGTTTAAGGAGACAATAAGACTATCTCATTCCATGATCCCTATCACAAAATGGTGGTGAGGTCCAGATTGTGCATCTTAGTGGTATTCAGATGAGCTCTGAATTAGGCAGTTCCTCTATGTTTTTTCTTCTTCTATTGCAATCAAACAAGAAACAGTTTCTGTTAGAGACTTCCAAGCCTCACAAGCATGCAGCTAAAATTTGGCAAAGTGGCCCCTCATTATTAATGTTCTTTTTAAGTAGCCAATTTAATCCATCAGTATTTGAAAAAATCAAAGTCAACTTGCCAATGAACTAGGGACAGTGTGCTATGTTATCAGAAAGTTTGCTAACAAGCAAAATTACTTGATTCTGGTGAATAAAGGAATTATTATGGATAATGGGCACATGATTAACGGGTGTTAATTTTGGTAACCAATAACTATCTAACAGCCTTTTAACTATTTTGATGTGAAATTTTCTTATTCTCTTCTAATTCCATACCGATTATGGAATGTTGTAGAAATTTGGTGCTAGATACAAACATTTATTTTAATTATTTATCCTGCATCCTGCCTATGCAATGTTATATTCTGTAGACATAATGTATGTCTACAGTATGGTATGTATGTGGGCATAGTAGATTTTGTTGCTCTTTCAGAATTCCTGGAATAAGCCGAAATAGCATTTAAGACATTATTTATTTCTTCAGCCAGGAAAGAATATTCAGAATTTTGAAGCAATCTTTTTTTCTTCTTTACTTCTATCTTCAGATAGAAGTATTCTGGCTGTTTTCACTTTCTGCCTTTCAGTTAGCATAAATTAGCATAATGCCACAACATTTAAATTACCAGTGATCAGAAGTAAATCTATATTGATCTGTATTACTCTGTTTTACTGGAGATACTACTTTTTCTCCTAGGATAAGAAGGACAAAGTCTCAAGGTTTGACACTATTCGTCACTCTATAGCTGGAATTATAAGATCTCCAAAATCCATGCTGGGTTCATCATCGGTAAGTAGTATCAGCAATGTGTGTTCTACTATCGTCTTGTGTTTTTACACCTGAAGTAGATTTTTATTTTCTGAAATACCACACATTTCAGTCTACACAGAAAAAGTTAGGCTAAAGTGATATTATAAAAAATACTATTCTGAGTTTCAGTGGACATAATATTGTGACATAATTATTTGTCAGAAAAAATTTCATTTACTGCAGTTAAAAGAAAAAGAATTTGTATATTCTTTGCAGCTTCCAGATGTGCTTTTAAGGATATTGTTTTCTGTGAGTTAGGCTTTCTACTAATGCTATATATTATTCATATCTATACTAGATCAGATGGTCAGGCATGTTTTACCCACATTGCAGTAATCCTTATGTTTACTATAGAGTCACCAGCATAAGTACATTTTTTATTACTATTTTTATTGCCATAAGAATTGATATTATTTAAGTCATGAATGATTATACATCTAGCTTCTATTCCCAGTGAAGTCACTAAGTATCTCTTACTACTAATTGGCTCTTGTTCAGGTTCCCCAGTGGATGGAGAATTTTAATTGTAGTCCAAGTATGAAAAACAGCTTATAAAACGAAATGACAAAAAGAAAAAAATGTGTTTTGCATGACTTTCGTTTACAAATTAGTTCTCAAGTATAGGCTTGAAATAGTAAAATATTCGCTTACATGCTGAGGGAGTTCACCAAGTTTTATTTACGTATCTCCTCACCAAAAAAAAAAGGTGTTTTTTTGAAGTTTAAAAGGTGACTGTACCAGCCCCATGTAAAGAGCAATCCAAAGTTTATTTAATTTTATTTTTTTAAATGTCTTTTGATTTATGGTCTTGTAACCTGAAATATTGGTTTAAAATAGCATTTTTGAGAAAATTTCACTGTTGCACCTGTTACTGTTGAATTGTGGCCTGTGTATTCTAGGTCTATAATATCTAAGGATGTATGGGAGAGATTAGTTACATGAATCTACAGACGTACACTGCATTATATAATATATATATATATATGACAATTATAATGAAAAAGAAAGAGAATAATAAATATGGTAATAAGAGGAAAATTAGGACAGGAGTACTTTCTTATGAGAATTGTGTAAGTACTTAAAATGCTATAAGAAGAGCCCTGCTTAAATATTAAAACATCCCTACAGAGAAATTAAATCTCCAATTTATCATTATCTTTATATTATAGAAACTTGTAGTTGGTGTAAAAAGGCAACATTTTTCTTATTAGTAGCCTTTTAGAACATATTTTGCTATGACCTCTGTTCTTCATGTAGGTCAGACACATCCTTTACCTTTTTTGCTTAGATGTATCATATAGTTTGTTATGATCTAAAAAATAAATTGTTTAAAACTACTGTTATGAAAACATGGGGAGGAGAGAACAAAATTTCAACAACAGACCCATAATAAAAAAAGTATTAGGATGAAATCAGGGAAAGGCAGTCTTAAGTTTTGTCATTGGCTTTAATCAAAATATCATTTTAATTAAAGAATGTATCAGCTTCGTTCTAATTATTGTATAAGTCTGTATCACTAGTAAGTCTACTGTAGTTTGTGTAAACTTGGGTTTAAGTATTTGGTAGGTAGGATTAAAGAGGCTTTGGAGTATGTTTGAGAGAAATGAGAGAATGAGATTGAGTTTTCTGAGGGAAAAGAAACAAGTGTAGTTTAGATTACATGCATTATTTCAATGAGCTTTGAAGTCATTATGTGTACACCAGGCTGGGGTGTGTGTTGTGATTTAGAAATTTGTTAGAAAAGGCTGCCGTGCATTTTGGAATAAAATTTATTTCATGAATTAGCACTTTGCTGTTAAAGTGGTTAGCTGTTCATCTTTCTCCTGCTTGCAATTACTTAACTGTGCAGATTGCTAACTTCTTAAGTTGGTACTTAAAATGTATCATCTATCAACAAATACACTGATTATGGAAGGTGCATTATAAAATAATAGTAATACACATAAAGCAATTTGTTAGTTCTTTTAAACAGAGCAATAAAAAAGAGAATCTAAAAAGCAGAGTAGAAGAAGGACCAGTACCAATTCTCTGATAGAATATAGTCTACACAAAAACGTAATTTCAGTATTCTGGTTTCATATAATACATTTTAAACATAGTGAATCTTTAATGTGCAACCATATCTTGGGTTAAATGTGTTATTGTTGTAAAACAGTATTCCATAATAAATTGGTGATGGATTTTTAATTAAAATTTTATGTAATTGGGAAAAAAATATTGTCATTGGAAAAGTATAGAAACCCTTGCTTTCTCAAGCAATCAGGAGATGAGCAAAGATCTAGTCATCTGTTACTTATGTATTATCACTTAAATGATTTACAGTTTCTTAGAAAGTAGAAGGCAGGGTAATAAAAGAGTACAGTTATGAAGAAAATAGAGAGGTGGAAGAGAAGGAGACCACAGCAGTGTAATCCACCAAAGTTGGTAGATTTTGTGAGACAACATACAGATTAGCTGTTTGTGCTAGCAAGAGACATAAGTTTAATGGGCTGAGACAAAAAAAAAAAAAAAAAGAAAAGGCACATTGTTCATGTAACTTGGACACTGCCTAAAAACTTTCTGAACTTTGCATCACTTCCTGAACTGCATAAGAAGTCTGAATGAATTGCATCTTGAATGCCAAGTTTTGTGCTTCAGATAAAATTAGTCTATTTGTTTTTCTAGTGAGGGATTTCAGTTTGTCACAGACATCTGCTACAGTTAGTAGGATAATTAGAGACATAATTTCTTTTGTCTTAAGTATATATGTTTTTTACATTTAATGAGAATGATCTTAATACACAGTGATGCTCTCTCTAAATATGAGAGATTTTTTCCAGTACATTGCTTTTCTATTATAATTTTTAAGTCTGTGTATTTTAATTTTATAGGCTTGTTTTCAAATGGAATACTCATATTTTTTCATAATAATTTTCTTTGAAGGTAGTTTAGGTTTTACACAGTCTGTGAGCATGTGCAAATAGATTTATCAGTTTTCACTAAGGCTAGTGTCAGGGATGAGAGGTAATTCTGCAGAGAGATGTCTCAAAATATCAGTGAATGTATTACTCTCTAATCTATATTTGTGCCCCTATTTGCATGGGGAGGAAAAAAATGTCTGTAAAATCCTTGATTTGTTTGAAGATGGAAAATAAAAACAAGTACAGAAAATCTGACTTCAGAAGCTGTGTGAAAATAAAATATTAAGCAGTTATTAACATATAATATATTAGTTATTAACATACAATTTTCACAAATATTATCTTCTCATTATATTTCTTACAATGAGAATTATATTAATTTTAATTATATATTATCATATTATATATAATACATATAATTATATATTACTATATATGCTGTATATAAAAATATACATACATAAGATATATGATATGTATATAATATATAATTATATATGCATAATTATATATTATTATATTGTTAATTCTAATTAATTTTGTGTTATAATGAAAGCTTATATTTCTTAAGCTCAATATACACAATTTCTTTTCATCTTTTTGCATGCAAGCTTTAAATGCTGCTGTTGGTTTGTGTGTAAATTATCAATGTCCGTATAAAAATGGGTAAGAAATCTTCTCATCCCAAAATTGAAACTGTAAAATATTGAGGCCTAGAATGTAAATTTGTTCCAGTATCTTACTGATATTAAATAGCTTACTGTTCCATAAACTTGCTAAGAAATCAATGGAAACAGTAAACTAAATTTTGTGCTGTTCCTTTTTTTTTCCCCCATCTTCTTTAAAGACTAACCCTTCTTATATTGAAACCGTTTAAATCTCACTATAAAATACAGTAGAAATATTGGTGTGAAGCGTAAAATTGAATTGAAATTAATAGTAAAATGATTATGATCTTGAATTTATACTGCTCTTTCTGGGCTTGTAGTCTGGGTGGCTGTACAGAAGAAAAATAGAGGCATAGGAATGTGTTCATAAAGAGAAAAAAAGCCCTACAATTTCAATAGCGTACAAAGAAATAATCCATTACTGATTGTTTCGTTAGAGAAAAGTAAAGGGATTTCTAAGTGCATTATGATTAACCCGTAAAAAGGTAATATTAAGTAGGAGGCAGTTGACAGAGATTTCAGTTATATTTTTCTTTTAAAGAAATAAATATTTATTTAAGCAAATATGAAAGAATGGGGAAGACTGATGTTAGTGTCATACAGAACACCATAGAGATTTATAAAATGCTCTCTCGTTTTCTCTAACTATTTTTGTGTCATAAAGGCTTTTAAGATTTTTTTTTTCAGGGATGTGATCATGATCTAGACAGTGATTCAGACCTGACCTAGTTTAGCAGGTGCTATTGTCTGATGGCTGCCTCTTTTGAAAGCTATAAAATGAGTTGCATGGTCTTTTTTAACTTTCATATGAAGGTTGCGAACTAGTTTATTGACATTGATCTGTTGTTTTATTCTTAGAATTGTTTTCTTTGGATTAGAAATGTGTTTGTGGAAAAGGTTTTGCTATTCTGAACCTCCCCAAAATTTCTTGTCTATGTAGGTCTGGGTCTGGGCTTCCTGTTCAAACTCTACACATGTTACAGTACATGTTAAGTAATATTTTAGAACTGATTATTTTGAATGGCGTATGACCTGGATAAAGGCTTCTTAGTCTATACAAGTAAATTTAAAGCATTCACTTGAACAAAATATAGTATTTTCAAAAGTGTTTTGTTGAAGTTAGTTAGTTTAAAAATTTAAATAGCATTCTTTTAGGTTAAATAACCTTTGTTTATTAGTAGTATACCCAATTATTGCTGTTTATCAAGTTTTTAGTGTAAAGATGAACTCAAAAATGTATTGTTATGGTAACATTCTTATTCTATATCTTTTCCAAGTTCTTTGATGTAATATCAACCACTGAAAAACCATTGGCAGAGCAAGATTGGTATCATGGTGCAATTCCAAGAATAGAAGCCCAGGAGCTGTTAAAACAGCAAGGAGACTTCTTGGTGCGAGAGAGCCACGGGAAACCTGGTGAATATGTCCTTTCTGTGTTTTCAGATGGACAACGGAGGCACTTTATCATACAATATGCTGATGTACGTCTCTGATATAGTATTAAATATTCAGTTCAATGCTAGGAAGTATATTATTTCAGCTAAACAATCTAGGATCTACATAATTTACTTTGACATTTGGATTTAGCCTTTATAAGAAATATGAAAGCTGTAGGGATATATTTTAATCAGTGCTGAAATCAGGGGAAAAGGTCATTTTAGGAATAAAAGATAAATAGGAAGATAAATATGAGATTATTCTACTACTTTTATTCTTTGCAGAAAAGCCAAAATGTTTCTGGAAGTGTTTCCCAAACCAGAACTTCTTACTGCTATCTTATTTATGTATATTTATTTTTTAAACCTATTTTTATACTTGGTGCTTATTAGGCTTCTTTTAATTCATATTAATTTCCACTGAATCTTCCTCAAAAATTAAAACATTCATCAATAATTTTTGATGTTTTCTATATAGTCAGGACTTGAGGTCCCTAGGATTGTTGAGCTGCATGTATTCATTTTTAGGTTTTCTGGATGTTGTTTTGTTCAACGGAACATAAATACTGGTGAATATGCATTCATACGCACTTTTCTTTGCTTTTCCAAATTTCAGATTCAAATACAACAGCGGGCGTAACATTGTTAGAAATGCCTCTAACTGTTTAGAAAGTTGCAATAAAATCTGCCAAACTTCAGTCAAAGTATACAGACTAATGCACAAATTTCCCACCCTAACTGTGCTTACAGTAAGGGGAATTTTCTAAATTCCCAGATGATTCAGCATACCATATTGTTAATGTGTAGCTACATATCATTTTAATGAGGGGTAGTGATATTGTTCCAATTTTGTGAATTTGGGAGGTTTCTATAAGATCAATGAATATGGACACTTGTCCAGATGTTTTTGTTTAATTTTTCACTTGGAGTTTTACTCCAGCAATTAACTACGACCTGAAGTCAACATTTATCATAGCTTGATATTTATGACCTTAATGTATCAGAGTGTTGAATGGGCAATAGAAGCAATAAAACTACCCATGGCTAGATACAGACATTCTTAAAAAATGGTTGGTGATCTCATCCTCACACAGTAGAATTAAATGCATGCTATGTGCTTTGTATGGTTGACATCATTTTGTGCAGATGTCACATTTCAGCATGGTTCTTTTTTAAATATTTCTATTAGACTAACCTGTTAATGCATTTTAGTATGCATTTTTCCATGAAACATTTTTAAAGAGTCATAAAAACTCTTTATTCCTGTAATTTCATTGCTTTTTTTTTCATAAAAAAATAATCTGAAATGTAAGACTGATGCTGTTTAATATTGCCTAGCTTGGACAGTCCAAACATCATCAGGTCACTAGAACTGTCAGCTTATTCATTTAAGAAAGAAAGAAACCTTATTAACCTGGAAAAGCAGTTAGTAAGTGGTAGGACTTTTGTGGCCAGATGGCAAGATGGGCTGAATCAATGAACCTTCCAGTAGGAAAGTTTGCTACAAGTGAAGTGTAGGAACTTGTTTTTCACACAGTGATTTCCAAAGTGTGGAATCTGCCTTCCATAAATGGCCAGATTACTCTCTTTTATCACTGACAAGTTCCATCTCTATTTGCAAGAATTTTCTTCTAAATCAAAGATTGCAGAGTGGAAGTATGACATGTACTTTTTTAACAGGAGTCCTTTAATTGCATAAGTATAGAATGGGATAAATTTTGTGGTTTTTCTAAGTGCTTCGCTCTGTAGTATTTGTGCAATTAAATTTTTCCATTCTTCAGCTTTAAGCATCAAATTTTGCTGCTATCACTCAAAGGTAATCTGTTTTTCACTACTGTTATTGGTGGATTGCTATTTTTGAGGAGCTGCTTGTTCAGTAATCTTAATCACAGCAGGAGGTCATTTAAAGGGGATGCAACTGAGTATCACTGGCCAGGCAAAGCCGAGTTAGTAGTGAAAGAGGTTAGGGAGATGAAGGCCAAAAAGAATTCAGATTAAGAAAGCACTTTTACAATAGATAGCCAATAGGAAGATAAAAATAGGTGACATGACCAAGCTTCCATTGCTAAGAGTGTTAGCACATTACAGGAAGCTGATGCCTGTAGCTCTAATGAAGAGAAATGTGGTATGATGCATTATATTTTTTTGTTCGTTTTTAAAAAGGCATATGCCAGTGATGGTTCTTGTTGCCCAACTGAGTATGAACCTGAATAGTTAAAACTGAAATATTTAGAGAGCCTGCAATGTTGTTATGATGTTGAATTAGATGTCTAAGATTAAATATATTGCTAAAAAGCATAGAAATGGGGGGAAAGAGGCATTTTATGTTTTCAACTTCTCTGTATGTTATGAGTGAGTTGCTCTTGTTTTCAGGCTCTGTACCACAGTAGACTTCCCTGGCATACATGGCTGATAAAGGCCAGTCATGGGTCTTGTATTCATATCAGGAATTTGCTATTTTTTTCAAATTCTAAGTACAGTAAGATCTGATGAAGTATTACTTGTTTGTTAGAATGTTTGTTGTTTTATGTTATTTTTAGTTTTATATGCTTTGGAAGAAAACACTTATAAAAATGTAGATGTATTTTTTTTCTATTTCGTAATAATTTATTCTACTCACAGATTTTCTCACCTTTTGAATTGCAAGAGCCTTTTTTATTTTTAAGTGTTTAAATCAATAGTTATTTTATTGTGTTGCCTTAAGTGAGAGATTCCATGTGTTGTGAAATATTACCTTTCTGATGACCATTCTATTTAATTCACTAAAAACTTTATTATTTTGATTAATACAAATATTTAATTCTATAAATATAAACTTTTCATTTGGTTATTAGTGATTAGTGATGAAGCTAAGCATGAAAGTGCAGCTTCTTCTTTGAATTTTTACTTGTGCAGAAATAATTATTTCATTTTATCTCCATACAGAATCAGTATCGTTTTGAAGGAACTGGCTTTCCAACTATTCCTCAGCTCATAGACCATCACTACACAACAAAGCAAGTCATTACAAAGAAATCTGGTGTTGTTCTACTGAATCCTGTGGTTAAGGTAATGCACACATTCTAATTATTCTATTAAGCTGAAAGTATTTTCAGGTTTGTATTATTATGTAAAATATGTTCCCTTTGATTCCAAATGAAAATATTAAGTATATTGTAGAATGTGTGTATATGCTATTAGGTCAACAGATTTTTTGCTCTACCCCTGTCACCTGTGCCAAGTCAGTGTTCTATTTTTCTGATTTCAGAAGAGAAATAAAATAGAGCTATTCTCCTGGCTTATTAATTTGAGTTAGTTTTAGTATTAACTAAAAGCAAATTTTAGTACTATGGGTGGTATTAGTTGACTCTTTTCTTGTAACTATCTGTTAATTGCTTGCAATTGTAGTGATGCAGTACTTCGTTCACGTTTTCCCAAGTGCTATCCATGCATTAAATTCCATTGTACTGGCTCTGTGTTTGGTGATACGATTTCCTTTGTGCTGATGTGCTGTGTTTATATTCAAGAATAATTCCGTTTGGGTTCCTGAATTTTTCAACTTTCATCCTAATAGGATGCATGATGGCTACATGATGGTGTACCCTACTGGTACTGGCAACAGAGTGCTACCAAGAGTGCTAGTTGGCAGGAAATATTGTTTTATACATGCGTATCACATACATTGTATGCTTTCAAAAATGAGATCTAAGCTACTCACATTTTGTGTAAAGTTTAAAAATATATATATATATATAAAATGCACCTAAAGTGCTTCAAGGCCAACATCCTGAACCTAAGTAGTAAGACAGTAGTGAAAAGTATGTTAGTTAAAAACAATTAAACAATTTAATTGTTTTAAATCAATTATTTAGAGTTCTTTTAACTGTGTTAGAGCTTCTCAACAATTTTTATGTACCATGTGCCATTTGTTCTCCCATATGATCAAAATCAGTTACAGAAAATAATGCTTTAAAGTTAAAAAAAAATAGTGCTTTGAGCTTTCCTTTTTAATTTTCATGGTTTTCATATGGGGAATTGGAAACATTTTAAGCATACTTATTTTTAGCAATGACATATGTACTGACACCTAGAGTCGATGGTATTTTATGCGTTGTACTCTGTTATCTCAGTGTGTTTTTGATCATTTTCTTAAAATTCATTTGACATCTGTAAAGACTCCTTTTTCTCTCACTGTTGTAGCTGCAAAGCAGTCTTTGACGTTTTGAGCAATCTTTAATCTTTTTATGCAAATTGCTCTCCCTGTAATAACTTATTTAGAAAGTGAAAGTTGTGTATGACAAAGAACATCAGAGAAAAGAATTATGCTATGTAGCTTGCTTCTACTTTTCATTCTTTCTGCAATCATTTATTTTCCTTTACCGTAATAGCAAAATTAGTGTTCACCTTCTGTGACGTTGTCCTTGAAAGGAACAGTCTTAATTGTGCCACAAAAGGCTTATCCCACATCCCATTTCATGTAGACCAAATCTGCCTGCTTGGAATTTTAATGATAGAGAAATAATAGAATTTAAATTAGAAAAGCCAAGGTCATTAAAAAGATATCTGCAAGTGATTTTTTTAATGGAAAAGCTTCTCATTTATATTTATTTATTATCTTTGAGAAAAAATGCATCAGTTTATTACTGATGGAATGACTGGTATGTAAAAGGCCTTAGAATAACCTCACTGCATCCCCAAGGTCTTTATTAATGGAAAAAAAACCTATTCTAAACATACAAAATATATTTTTACTTTCTAGAACATTTGACCTTATATTGTGGAGTTTCTTAAATTTCATGAAATATCTTTCATACAGTTAGAAATCTATGTTAAGTTGTGGATATAGTTTAATTTAATGAGAGAAATTAAAATCATTAAGGAAATCAAACATTTTTGTTTGGATATATCTGTGTTAACAGTTTAGTTCAGATCAGAAATAAGCTTTTGAGGAGAATCTCCTGACTGTCGCAGATTAGAGTATGTTTCCATCACTGAGCGGTCTCAAAGCATGCAAAATTTGGCCGTTTCCAGCTGAAACAAGACAAGTGCTAGTGGGAGTTCAATCATCAGATACTGCCCCACCCCCCTACATGTATCAGTTCTTCGACACCAACTGCTTCGCTCCACAGACGTCCTGCTGCTTCACTAGTTGCTACTGCAAATAAAATTGTTGTTTCCTCTATAGCAAATTAAAGTTCTGAGGTTATGAATTTCTGAAGCTGTATGTCGCTAGTAGCTTTCATTTACAAGAACTGATTCACAAAAGATTCACAAAAGAATCGTATGAAATGAGTTCAAACATTTTCTATAGAAGCGAAAGTGATATAGAAATGGAAAGAATGTTGATTAACCTGAGCAGAAGTGTTAAAAAAATAAATCTGCATGATTTTATAGTAATTTAAATATTGATGAATAAAAGTCTGCAAATGACATGAGAATTCCATCCAGATCTGACAATCAGCTGCAAGATAGGATATATTAATGAGTTATACCTGTGGAAAAAAAAATGAAGATGTAGAAATTTAAGTGAGAAGATGAAAGTAGACAGATTCTTTTCAGTAAAACACAGTCAAAGTTCTGACATGACCTGATTTTTTTTCAGTCTCTGAACCATTTTGAGTTGCATTTTGTATTTAGGATTCATCCTAATTTAACTTTCAGGTCAGCTTTTGAAGATTTAAAGCATATGCAATTTATCTGCTCCGTTTCTCAGCCTGTTGGAGTATTACAAAACGTGTAATCCTGATTTTTGTCTCTTTTTGATGCAGTTTGATTTTTCAGGTATTTTGTTTTGTTTCATTTTATTTTTTAAAAACAAGCTGAAATCCAGTGTTGCAGACAACATAGGATCTCATGGTGCAGGTAGCACACCTTTATCCGAGTTGTGTCTTGCTGGGCCAACAAGGGTGAACTGGAGGAATTCAAGGATGTGCTGTGAACAACTGTTGTCAGAATTTTGCCTAGGGTAGGTTTGTAGCATCTGAAGTAGTATGGTACCCACTCACGTGAAAAGCCTCACAGAAATGCTGAGGAGGGCCGGTTGGTCATAGTCAGTATAAGCAGATTTTTGACCCCAAATTGTAATTCTTATGGCCATGATAAGTCCAATGTGTATGCTTTTGAATGTTAAAACGCATCTTTAATTTTCTTTAAGGAAATAAAATACATGATGAGAGGTGAGAAATTATATTACTTAAAGATAAGCTGACAGGAAATGGCCGTATTCATATGATTTGAATGCAGCTATCTTTTGCCACTCATTTACCGTTCAGTATCATTATGGTCATGCAGCAGACATATGCAAAGGAAATCAGCAGTATTAATTAATACTAGGATAGAAAAAATTAGGCAAGACTTGAACATTCATATGAGCAAGGAGAGAGCCACCTGGCTGTTTGGGCTGTAAACTGTACAAAAGGAGTCATTTTGAGCAAAGCAGAAAATAACAAATTACATTTAGATGTGTTTGAACATTTTTTTACAAAAACAACCCGAAAGTGGAAAAAAATAAGTTTATGAAGGAAGAAATGGAAGATAGAAATTTTTACTTGAAAAATAAGTATGTGGTCAAAAGGAAAAAATATTAATTGGATAATTTTGGAGTAAGTGTTTTTTGGGGTAAAACTACCTGTGAGAACAAACTACTTCAATCAAAGCATGCTTCAGCAAGGAGCCTTTTGGATCTACCAGATTTTATAAATAATGTTCCTTTCTTCTAATTGTTCTAATTGCTTCTAATTGTTCTTGTTTTTTGATTTTACCAGTGCAGTCTGTGTGACTTAAGTAAAACTAATACTTCCATAGACTGGCTGACAAATACAAGAAATCACTGAAATGCAGGATCTGAGGTTCAACAAGCGCAACATATCTTAAGATTAAGAATTTCAGTGTGTGCTTTTAGATATCTCTGCAGAGCTGGAATTCTACAGTAGAAGTTACTGTGAAGTAACTTTTAATAGGTAGTATACAGTCCCTGAAAAACTTGAGCTCCACTAGTTGCAATGGAGTAAGATCTTAAAAAAGGTATGCTGGTGATGTGAAGGTGATATGAAGAAGAACTAGGGGGAGTGACCTCTCTTGGCTATCAGTGATGTAGAATTCAGAACTATTGTAGATTTTAAAGCAAATGATGAGGCTAGTGATCACTTATTTTCTGGAGTGGTACTGCAACAGAATTCCATAAAGGTACAAATTTTAAAAGTTTTCTTTTTTTCCTTCTCTTTCTCTACAGAAGTTGTCTTTGTTCATGTTTAAGCACTTGAAATATGTGGGCTGTCCAGAACATATTGTGCAAAATAATTATTTTGGGATAGAGAAGGGAAGTTATTCCAATACAATTTGAAAGCAACATTTTATTGGAGGCTCAGAGGGTTGGCCAGGAAATGTTTTGCCTTCTGATCATGAAGACATTAATATGAACAGGTTCTTTCTATGGAACAGCTGAAGATAAGCAACATAAACTTTTTACTTTTGTTTTCCTGTTGCCAGTGTGACCAGAAGATACCAAGGAAAAAATTAATCTAATACAGTATTGTTAGCAAAGGCTGTAGTAAAGAAGGAAGTTCTGATTTGTTTTCCCCTACATTACAGAATCACAGAATGATTAAGGTTGGAAGGGACCTCTAGAGATCATCTAGTCCAACGTGCCTGCACAAGCAGGGACACCTAGAGCACATGGTACAGGATTGCATTCAGGCAGGTTTTGAAGATCTTCAGAGAAGGAGACTCTACAGCCTCTCTGGGCAACCTCTTCCAGTGCTCTGGCACCCTCAAGAAGTCAAGAAGTTCTTCCTCAAATTCAGGTGGAACTTCTTCTGTTCCAGTTCATGGACTTCCTATCACTGTCCACCAGTGAAAAGAGCTTGACCCTGTTCTCTGATACCCTCCCTCCAGATATTTATGTACATATTGGTAAGATCATCTCTTAGCCTTCTCCAAGCTGAACAGGCCCAGCTATCTCAGCTTCTCCTAATAGGATGCAACATCCAGTCCCCTAATCATCTTTGAAGCCTTCCACTGGCCTGCAGGAGCTCCATGTCTGTCTTATACTGGGGAGCCCAGAACTGGAC